GTCCACACACTCTCCACGTCCCATGCAGTCTTTTGGACAGGTCTTGATGCTGCAGTCCTCCCCAGCATAGCCTTTGTCACATATGCACTGTCCATTAACGCAGCGGCCATGGTCTTGGCAGTTGTTAGGGCAGGTGAGCTCGCTACAATCTTCGCCTTGGTATCCTTCGTCGCATACACATTCTCCATTAATGCACTGTCCCCTGTTGCTGCAGTTGTCTGGGCAGGAGAGGATGGAGCAATCTTCACCTTCAAATCCTGGATCACAGATGCACTTCCCATTGAAGCAATGGCCTCTCTCATTGCAGTTCTTGGGACAAGTGAGCTTAGAGCAATCCTCTCCGCTGTAGCCGGTCTGACACACACACTGGCCATTCACGCACAAGCCACGGTTGTTACAGTTGCCAGGACAAGTGAGCTCGCCGCAGTCTTCACCAGTGTAGCCCTCTTCACAGTAACAGGTGCCATTGATGCAGCGTCCACGGTCATAACAGTCGTTTGGACAGATGAGTTCCGAGCAGTCGAATCCCGTCCATGGCTCATTGCAAACACACTCATCGTCCATGCAACGTCCGCGACCCAGGCAGTTGTTGAGGCAGTTGGTCTGGGTGCAGTCCTCACCAATGAAGCCCTCCTCACAGAGACAGGACCCGTCAACACAGTGGCCATAGTCACCACAGTCCATCAGGCAGAGCTCAATACCGCAGTCATCCCCACCAAAGCCCTCAAAGCACTCACATTTGCCATCCACACAGCGGCCCTGGTCTTGGCAGTCATTTGGGCACTCGGGTTCGGTGCAGTTGGGGCCTTTCCATCCAGACTCACATATACAGCTGCAGGTGTCAGTGCTCCAGTTCCCACGGCCATTACAGTAGGGCTTTGTGGACACTTCACCTGGGGAAAGCCAAGAAAATAAGTTGTAGTAGTAGGCTTCCACTATTGTCATGTGGTATTGCAGTTACCACAAACTCTCTTCTGCAGTGCATGTATAGATGCCCTGACAACCCATAACTAACAGTCAAGGCTTTGCTTAAAGGCTTTGCATTGACAATGCAATGTAATTAAAATTATGACAGACGACAAACAGTAAGAAAAACGTAGACACCTTGAAAAGGATAATAAGAATTTGGCCATTGTTTAGTATTAAAAACTTTGTCGACAGTGGATTCTGATAAATGAGTTGTCAGGTCCTTTCATGCAGAAACAGCTCGTAACTGCATCACCATTTGACAATATTGTAACTGACACTAAATAATATGACAAAATATTCACAGTATTATATTAGCTATCTCAATCATGTAATCCATGCTTAGGAAAGGTGATGGTAGCAATGTAAATGATAGACAATTTCTGGTTAATGGGCTGAAAGATGCAAAGGCATTGCTATGGTCTTTTAGAAATGATTGCCTAGGGCATGACCTCTGACATGAGCACTTCAGAAATAGATTTCACTTGAGTTGAGTACAGGTCTAGTCAACTACAAACACACTGACATTAATTACAGTACAAGAGCCATACAGTGAAAGGTATAGAATTACCTGTAACTTGAGCTCCACAGCAGCCTGTCCCACTACTGCACTGCTCTCTCAGACTAGACAGCTCTGACTCCAGCATCTCCAGCCTGTTCAGGATATCCTTGATGTCCGGCAGCTGGTTGTCGCAGCCACACGCCTGCTTAGGGATACTGATGCGGTGTGTGAAAACAATCTGATTGTCGCCGTCCTCCGTGTGCTCCATGTGCTCGGTGTTCTGCATGTCCATTGGGGCACTCTTGTGTTTGAGCTCGGTGCCTCCGGGCGAGTCGATGTCCACGGAGCAGAGGGAGGTGGAGGGGACGTTGATGTTGTAGACGTGGTTAAACACTACTGGCTGGTCAGGGTGGGGCAGGGTGAGGTTCTCCTGGGTTTTCTTAGGCATTAGAGCCTCTCTACGGTGGCGGATTATCTTTTTGACCAGGCCGGCGGTGGAGAGCTCAAGAAGCAGGGCCACAGTCACGCAGCCTAAGAGGAAGCTTTTCATCCCCATGATGATGCCCTAGCACTGCAGCTTCTGTGGAAGTAGCAGCTGAGTGCAGAATAATGTCTACTATCAAATAGTTGTTCTTGTCCTAGAATAAAAGAAAGTACAGACAGAAGGGTAAATTATTAATTTTGTGAATTTTCTTTCCAAGCAAATAACTTTCTCACATAGTTCAGCACAGAGCAATTGCTGTTGGATATTCACTTTTCTGGTTTGTCCTTGCCTTTCCGGATATAGTCATTAACATAGACCCACCACACACACATACATCCACACTGGGGACCATAGCTGGACGGAAATATTATAGTATCCCACTAAAAAGCAATTAACCTTCTTCTGTTGCCCCTAACAAAAGACCACTTCCAATCCTGTTGCTGGCTCTGACCCATTTAGCACCTCTGCTGTCAGTGGAGGAGCCGACACTTAGCGGATGACATTGGGGCATTCTTTTTCGCAATTCCTCTGAGGACCAAGAGCAGCAATTACTACAGTCGCACAACGTAACCATGGGCATCTGGAGCTTTCTTTTTGTGACCATTTTGAGACAGGTTGCCACAAATAGCACAGCAACACCTGCATGGTGGGGAGCCTCGTCTTTGCTCTGCAGTCCAGACCACAACCAGAGCTGACAGATTAATACCGGTGTATGGTTAGACCATCTTTGGGCTTCTTGTAAAGCACGGAGGTCTGCACAAACTTCTCCTGCTACCAGCAAACTGGCAGGTCAGCATTTCCAGATCGCTCTGCTGACAGCTATTGGGTTTTCTTTTATTTCTGTAACATGAATCTTATTGCTTTCACTGACCGCTTCTGAGACATGATTCTTTTAAAAGGTCTGCTGAAAAAAATGTGCTGAGGTTGTGGAAACCTTAAAACAACATTTAAGCAACCTTTTTCTCACTCTTTGACCTTAGAATTAAATTAAATATACACATTGATAAGAGGTACGCCTTTGCTTCATGCATGTTCTGTTACATCTAACATTAGCTGTTATTTATGTAAAAGAGAGGACTGGTGGAAAAAGCTTTCTGTTTCTCTAATAATCTGATTTCCAGTTATTTATATTTTATAAGTGCCTGGAAGGGGGAACAAAATCCTGAATATATTCTGTGCATGGTAATACACTTCCTGTTCTGTGTTTGGTTCAGTCTCAGTTTATATAATTTTACTTTTCACCACACCTTGTCAGAGATGCTGACACCGATCATTTCCTACCTTGAATAAAACCACTGTGTGCTTGTTCAAAAGGTTAATAGCAGCTGTTAGCAGCCAGCATGAAAATGCCTGGGTAGCAGACATGAAAATGCATAATTGCAGGCATAAATATCGTATTTCAACCCTGTGGTGGAATATGAATGAAGGGGTTTCATTTTCTTGACTACACCTGACTTAGTCGCACTGATGTGGATGCAGTAAAACACACGGCACCTTTGCTGGCCAGTTTCATGTGTGCAGGGACAGGGAGCCTGACAGTTAGCATGTAATATTCCAGAGAGAGGTGCTTGGTCTTCTCATCCCAGCCTGACATTTGATTAGGCAAACTGACAGATGAGCTCAGCTTGGAGGGATCCCACGGCTTAACCCCCAAGCCTTACCCAGCCCCCTGATTAGACAGACAGGGATGAGTGCCTCCATGATAGGTAGACTGCAAAAATGCTAATGTAGCTTGATGATGGGAGTGCTAAAAAACCCCCACCCCAGCCCTGTTCCTCCAATACAGTCACACTGCTGTGCCCAAGCATCACAAACTAGGGATTAAATCAACAAAATAGCCAGAAAATTGCTTTGAGTTGCTGCTAAGGTTTTAGTTCTGGGCGGATGGTTGGCTTTCTCACTTTGAAGGCTGGCTGCTCTCCACATGGACCTCTGAGCGAGGCAACCCTGAGAGACGAAAGCAGGCTTTGTGTGAAAATCTGTGGTTCTGGCAAAACTCGGCTTTATTCAGGAATAGATGAAGAGAAGAGACTTCCACAGAGTCCGACAAAACTTCTGATTTGGCCTTTTCTCCTCTTAGCTGCCATCTACTACTCTCTAATATGAAGCAGAACAATCACTATAAGAGAATCTGAGTGTGACCCTGAGAAACACAGAGCAGATCCCTCTGGTTGGACTTCCTTCACGAGCACCCTGTGGCCCTGGCACTATGCTAATGCAGCTGGTTGCTGGCACTATAGACATGGAATTGATACAGTCTGACTGCTGCTGCTTTGTTATTCCCTCACTTGGTTTTGCTCTATAGTTAGCTTCTCAAACAGGAACAAAGCGTGTTGCCTGCCTTGTGGTCGAATGTGAGGAGGATTTTACCAGGGAAAACCTGCTGGCACACACACATTTGGTGCAACTTATCTAAATTACCCTGTTGTGAATGAGAGCTAATGAAACACTTGAAGTTTTATACCTCACACAGTGGAGAGCTGGAAATGCTTTAAAGGTTCAGTTGGGGTCCATTTCAAAAGTGATTAGGTCTCCCACTGTCAGGAATGTTAAATTAATTTTACGGTATGGTTGTTTTAGGATTAAAGTAAAAGGGTGTGCCAATCAAACAACCAACCCTAAACCTTAGCCCTGACCCTACCCTTAACCTAATCTAACCCTAAACCGGTGAAGCATATTCTAGTTTAGGATCTTTTCAGACAAGGAGCAATTGACACACCTCGTAATTTATCTCCAATGTGACGTGAGTAGTCAGGTTGGGAGGCGTGGACAATCTGACAGGCAGAGCAAAATCTGTCGTGATCGTGATCATCTCACACACACAACCGTGCGTTGCTGGAATTGAATTTGCTTGAACTTTTTGCTATGCAACGCAGAGTACTGTCCTTGTCCCTTGCTGTTTGTAAGTTTCCTAAACTATTTTTAAACAGTTATCAGGATATTAACAGGAGGGAATTCCCATCCCATTGCAAAGCATCGACTCAATTCTGGGGTAACGTCAGTTTTATTTTAAGCCAGGCTATAAAGTTATGATTATGCTAATTTGGCTAACTTTAGCTGTCAACAATAGTCTGGTTGGCAACAAGAGAATATTGTTGACACACACAACTAAAATTCACGTCAGTTGTATGCACAAATAAGCTTGCGAGGCAGTGGGACTCACATAATACAAAATCACACCAGAATCCATCTAGCCAGCCTACAATCTATGCGTTTGCGGTCAGAGGTACCGGACCAATCAGCATCCTTTAAGGAAGTATTGGCAGTGACGGGGGTGGGTGCTATGAGTGACACAGCAAGAAGACACTATTTGTTAAACAATAATGGTAGTTCCCATAGAAGTCAGCGTTGATGCTGCTGAAATTTGGCTATGATAGACAGATTGCTCATCCAGTCACTTGCTAAGTAGTGCCTGCAGTTTCCAACAATGAATTCCCAGATGGCTCTGTATAACAAACTATCTGGTGCAGTCAGGTTAATGTAAAGCCTCCTTAACAAAAGTTGATACTTCATGTCTACAGACCAGAAGAAACAGCCAAAGAGTTTAGAATTTACAATCCACATAAGTGCCTGTTCGCATAAGTCTTCTCGTACATCCCTGACTTTCCCATTAGTGTAATGTAAAAAACAGAACCTGTAACTTCCTCCTATCTTGCAAGAACAAGCGTTTTCAGCATGTCCCAAGGTGCTGCTTCTTGTTTCACTTCCATGTTGGGAAAGTCTAGAGCCCTAATCCTTGGTTAAATCAAGAGAATGCATTTATTTCACACAAAGGAGAACCAAGGGGATCAAGATAAGAGTAAAACCAGTACAGTCTAGTCAGCACAAATCCCCATAAACTACTGAATACCTCAAGACCAACATGTCATGCAAAGATTTGTCTTATTCTAGTGGACTATCACTTAGCATTGATCTTGTTTTTTCATTTGGATAGTGCTGTTTCAATGGAAATAAATAAATCCCCGGTGGATGATTACTTTACCAGTGTTCCTTTCCTCCTACCGTCTGCTGTCTTTTAGACACAAGTTTTACTTTCAGTTGGTTGCAAGATTGATGAGCAGACTTTCTGTCTGGGGAGGATTGCAGACATTGATTTCTTTCAAAACTGAGCCAGGCCCCCATGCTGACATACGTAATCGTCACTGTAGTTCACCTTTGCTGCGACTTTTCTATATGGCAGGTCCAAGATAAATCAGAAACGAAAACTATTACTCGGCAAGCATTCAGCAGTGATTATCTGTGTAGCTGCTCTGAAGAGAAAATGCAATTTGTTTTGGCAAAAAAGAAATGCAAGTGTTATCATTATGTGAAAAGGCAATGTGTGGTAGGTTAAAATGGAGCAACATCTAAGTGCATTCAGTGCTTTTCATGAAAGGAAAAGAAAGATTTGCTAACTATCAGTGGATAATGGCGACACTGTGAGCAGACAACGCAGCACCCATCTGATAACTCGACAACAAACAAACTAAATAATGAAGCAGCGTGCCCCACTTGGTGTGTAAAAGCTGTAAATATTCAATGACTACAACTACAACTCAAGTCCCAGGACTGTATGTTAAACAGATCTGATGGGATGCACATGTTTTCTTTTCATTTCTGAAGAATTTATCAAGCTTGCTTAGTTTTGTAGGTCACCCATGACAAAAACTCAGCTTGCCTTATTTGGTACAGAATCCGAATCTGGGTCACTGGTATAAGGACTGAAAGAAGGGTTATTGTCTCGGGCTCTTTTCACCTTGAGATACTGTCACACTGTAACGAGGGAAAATGACCAAAAAATGAGCCACAGTTATCGACACTCACTGCCATTTCAAGAATAATGAAATGAACCTCTTTTTCTAATTCTACTTTAAAGAGCAATTTCATATCCCAAAGAACCGCAAATCCGCTAGAATTGAAATCTACTGACAAACTTATTTATCACAATCAACTTGCCCGCAAGGTGTAAGAAACCTTCCACATATGTTCTGAGCTAGAGCAGGTGAATATTGATTTGGCTCCTGTATCTCCACCAAGGTCAAAACCAGAGAGATAGCAAGCTGCTGAGGGCAGCACTATGTCTGTGAGTTATAATCATCAAACAGAAATGAATTTTCAGGAAGAGGCATAGCATCAGTTGACTGCTCGAAGTGCGATCGATGGTACAGTTGTTGCTGCTTCTCAATTATTTTTTTAATTTTTATCACCTCACGCTTGGGAAGACAGACTTTCTCTTTCTGCCTTTTATGACCGATGCAGCCATCGCTGTTGTGCTGAACTAAACAAAAAACCCACGGCGGAGGAGTAAACTGCTCGCTTAATGGCTGAAGAGATGTAGTGTTGGAAAACAAGAATAAGAGGCAATCAGTTTCCACTTAATTCATGTGAGGGAAATGACTAAGCAGGTAAGACAAGACTGAGGATGCAGGATTTGATTCTAATATGGCAGTGATGTGGTCAGGCCACGACAATAGGACACATCTAATTGGGTAAAGACAAGCTTTCAGTTTGCTCGTCTGGAAAACCTCCCAGCTTGTCTGACAGATGCATATTTCAAATGCAAGTTAGGTTCAGCACACACCTCACAGACCAACAGGAATGGCGGTAACAAATATGTCTGTCATTCCTAAGGTAACCAGCCTGGAACCAGCTTCATAGAGTACTTGATGATATGTCCTAAGTATGAACCTAAATGAGAGTGAAACATCTAGCAGCTAAGGTAAAAGAGCTGGTGGAGACAAAACAAAACTTAAACATCAGCATTAGTCAAGCTACTTAAAATATTTAAAATTGCACACCATTGCACTACATTGTACACCATTGTACTTGCACATTGCTTATTTCTTATAATGTATATATTCTTCAGTTATAGTTTCATATTTCTATTATATTTTTTATCATTCTTATCTGTGATAAGATTGTACTTGTACACTGTACTCTTTTTTGCACAATATTCCCCAATGCTGCTGTGTGTAACTTGAATTTCTCCTACGGGGATCAATAAAGGTATATCTTATCTTATCTTATTGTTGGCATTTTGATTTCAGATCTTTCATTTATTTTTACCTATTTTCTCCTTCTATTTTTGCTGGCCTTTTTGGTTTAGCTGTGCTCCATGTGCCTAGACTGATTGTCCTAAGCTGTTTGTCATGTATTATCTGGTGTGACATTTCTGTCATACTAAGTTCAAAGAGATTTTTAGGACATTTGGTATACTGAATCATAAGTATTAAAAAGCTTTGTCATTCTTAGTCTTAAACAATTTTATTATAACACGACAATTTATCCATTAAAAAAACATTATACTAGGAATAAGTAATGCTTTTTTACATCAATAATAGACTCAGTTGGCTTCTGTCAAAGTGTAAATAAAC